GCACTCATATGCTTTGATAAAATCCATTTTATCGTTTTTCAAAGGCGCATAAACTACTACAGTTCGAACTTTAGAGCATCGCAATGCTCCTGGGCATATTAACTTTTGTTAATATTTATAAAGAAGACCTACTCAACTGCCAGCACAGGGCTGTTAGCTAAGAAAAATCGAATCCTGACTCGAGCGGACGGCGATGCTTCTAGCCCGAGGAATACTCTTCGGACCGGAACAAAAAAATCGGGAGGACGTCTTAAAATCAGGAGCTGCTCGGCTGAAGCCGGATCAGAATCGCTTCGATACACATTGGCTAGGAGAAGGAAGTTTCCAATCTCCAGCCTCATCTATCTGATCAATTCATCATCTCCGACAAAACTGCCGCGTGCTCATTAAACCTGCTTCTCTGTACAGCGCCAAGGGCTTCACAGGAGAGGGTCTTTTCATTTCAGGCCGGGAAGGCGGCGACATCCCGGCCCGATCAAATAAGATCAACGTGTAAAAAGAAAGTAATTGTTGCAGCGCAGAGCCACAAACATACACCTCCCGAAGCCTTAAATAACACGCACACTAGAGACGCGGTTCAAGCATCCTCCGATCCACACTCGCTCCCCACTCCACCCCAACCACACCACGCTCACTCGCCCCGGCTGCCACCAGAAATAGGGCGGGCCTCCCCGGCTTTTCTAGTCCGCATTGGATTCTGGGAATCGCACAGATCTCAGGCCAGCGCTCGCGCGAGCTGCGGCTTTATGTGAGATCCTGCGAGGGAGGAGGGAGCGCTGCGCATCAGAGCCGCGAGGAGAGCCGGCGCTTGATTGGGCGTTAGCGAGCGTTCGCGTCGCCAGCATTTCGGAAAGAGTTTAAGGCTGCTGGGTAAGCAGCAGTTTGAGAACAATGCATGAAAAAGAAAGTAGCTGAACACGCACTGGTTTTACTGCCTTTCCACTTGAATATAGACCCCTTCCCCCGCGCATCCATGATTACTTGTATGCTGCGTTACTCTCCAAACGATTCACCAGAAGTACACAGATGGTCAGTCGGGTACAGTGAGCCATAAATAATTTAACAGTACTGCCTATTTGTTTCCTTTCTGAATGTAAGTGTATAATTCCATTACTGGCACTTTATAGTATTGTGCTTAAACTTTTTAAGTATGCTGTTCACCAAGAAGTCATCAACCGGAACTGCGTTAAGTAATTTTATATGCGCACAATATTTTACAATACTTTGCATCTGTATTAGAAAACTAACGAGGATAATTGCAGCTAAAATTTCCTCGAAAGTCATAATCCCTTCACTATAATTTGAGAATGAGGTCACCATGTGGCAAGGCAAGCAAAATATTTATATTTTGAATTTAGACACTGCCCATCTCATGAGGAAGATAATGCAATCCCATGAATATGGGCAGTCAAAATTGTTTTGGCACTTTCCACCTGCCATAAAAACTTCGGGTATTTCTTCTATCTTTCATATAACACCAGAGTTTCCATCTCTTAGTTATACTGCATCCAAACAATTAGGATTCTACAAAGCATTTAGCTTCAAAACCAAGATAACAACTGTGTGTATTCAAATGCAGATTTTAAAACGTTATCTACCTTTGTTGTGGGTACAGTACTATATATGTTTTTGAGGATATAATTACATTAGATTATTTTACAAAATGATATAAATTATT